AACATATGCATTTTATTTTTAAATCACAAAAACATGAAAACAGTCGAGGTGGTCGACTTTGCCATCTTGTACTCCAAGGCCAGATCAGTCACACGAATACCATGATCATGCTTTTCTATAATGTCCTTCTTAAGTTTGATCGTCACTTTTTTCTTCAAAGCCTCTTGCCAAGCCTGCTCTGCATTTTCTTTGGAGCCACGCTGACAAGCACACCAAACACCTTCCAAACGCCACAAAACACACCACAAGCCTCACCGAACGTCTCCTTGCTACTGCGATCTTGCCCACAGGAAGCCGCGACTGGGTGGCAGCAGGGAAAATGGCCGTGGATCTGGTTCATAACTCAAGGCGGAGTTCGCAAGTCGAGGTAAATTTTTGGGGCCAGAGCTGGTCGTATCTCGAAAAATTCGTAAGGAGGGGCGTTCATAACTCGAGGTACCACTGTACTAGAGGTTTAGACACTCACTAGAATACATTTTGGTTAAAGCATCCTAACACTGTTCCACATGATGAAGACTACTGCATGCCTGTAACAAAGTTCTAGGCTACAAATGCATTTTATAAAGGAAATTAAGTGGCTTGAATGAGATGGCTTGGTACTAGAAAAGGAGACACAGTCAAAGCTCCCAATCAGTTTTGCTTGGGGATACTCCTTTATGATGATAAATATGGTGAACAGCCAGACCCTCAGAATATGTGCAAACCAGCAAGAAAATCCACCCAAAATATGAATGGGATATACAGGTAGTCCTCACTTAGCGACTGACTGCCTTGGACAGTGACCATTCGTAGTTACAATGGTGCTGAAAAAGTAACTTTGTGACCAATGCCTGCATTTATGACCTTCACAGCGTCTCTCTCTCAATCACGTGTTCACCATTTCTGTCAGTTAGCATGCGTTATCCTGGGTAAAATCATATGCACAACTGCGGTCACGTGATTTTTCACTTAACAACTGCTTCACTTAACAACCAAGTTGCCAGTCCCAATTGTGGTCACTAAACAAGGATTACCTGTATCAGATACACCACTGAAAATTCTGTATTTTGTTTTCATAGTATACAAGGAAACAAATACACAGAACATAATTAATGCTTAATTTTTGTTATATATTTACTCTTTGTCCTGGAAAGCCAGTTATTCCTTCTTCTCCCTTTTCTGCTCCTTGTGCATGTAAACCCTGTGAGGAAAAAATATTTGCACAATTGTAGCATAATAATATGTAATTTAGCACAATAGTAATACTTTATGGAGAGGATCACTACAGTAATACGGAGGGTATGGCCATGAACTAGTAGTAATAGCCAAACTCAGTGTGGAGGGCAGTCACAAATACTGTATCTTTAAGCATGAGTTTGCCCATTCACATCTAATGCAGGTGTTCTGCTTCTGCAAAGGCTTCATCAAGTGGCAGCACATGGACAACCTCAGAAGCTAAGAAGAATTGGCCCTAACTATTGCTCGGACAGGGAACCCCCTGGAATTCCAGAGCTGTAGGCTTGATGGGGATGTTGAAAAACATCCTGGGAGAAGTGAATGGCAAATGTTTCTGTAACACTGTCAAGGCAGCTGCACAGATGCAGTTACTAAGATTCAGGCTTGAGTGGAGGGACTCTTGCTTTATTTACACTAAAGTATAGGAAGGAAATACTGTAAGTTAAACAGAGCCCCCTCTCTGCCCTTACCCTCTGTTCTCTGCTGCTTGTATTTTTTTTCGAAATACAGCTTTGGTATAGGTAAAACCTATAGATAAAAGGCATGGACTTTCCATCAGTTTGAGAGGCACACATACCTTTGTGCTGTGCTCCACAAATGGGCAATGGCAAGACCCCAGTTTCATGGGACAACTGATTTTTATATGTTTTCATGCATTTATGACTTTTTAACTTTTCAATATATTTACTTTTCAATACATGCAAACATCAGATTGAACGAATGCACTCAAGGCTGCTATAATTTAGTATTCCCCAACCTACACACACAGAAGCTCCCTCTAAAAGCAGCAAGAAAAAGACTGCGGTTTATTTGATCTCCAGTAAGTGGTGCTCTAACAGCCTGGGCAGAGATTCCCAGAGGCAACCATCCAATTCCAGCTGTGAATGTAGGAAAATGAACAGAAGCCAGTCAAGGAGAAGGAAGGAAAATAGCACAGGAGGGAAAGGGAGGCTTCTATGCAGAAGCATCACCTCTTTTTGGAACAAAGAGGACAAGGAAGGGTTGTTGTTTTTTTCCTATTCCAAAAGGGGAAAAAAGTGCAGCATTTTGTTGTCATCTAATAGAGGGAGCATCAGTACCATAGCCACCTCTCCTAAAGGAAAAAGACTGTTGTGCCTTCTAATTTCCTTGGGGAGAAGGTTGGAGGATAGGGGAAGGGAAGGGACGGGTGGGGAGAAAGTGGAAGAAAGAGAGATAGGAGGGGAAAAGGGGTTGGAAAGGCAAGAGAGGAAGCAAACCAAGGGAGGGGAAGATGGTGAAGAAGAGCTATGAAATAAAATAGAGTAGAGAGAAGGAGGGGGAGGATTTAGGAAAAAAACTGTGGCTGCACTTAAAGCCCAGCAGGCTGCAGGTAGCCCAGAGGGCCCCAGTTTATTTAATCCTGGCATAAAACTACGGAGAGGGAAGAGACACACAAGTTCCATTCTCTTTTCCCATACACTTTATGGTTTATATGTAGACATCTGTTCGGAATATATGTGTTTGTCCTTAACGATTAGTTTTGCCCTAAGAAATGCAAATAAGAACAATTTACATTAAGATCAACCTCTGTATCTTTAATAAAATAATTCCAGATCGCGCAAAGTAAACACTACATTTTATTTTCACTTCTCAGAAGTAACTCAAATGGCTTTTTTAACTCCTTTGATGCATTCTTTTGCGATTAGTTGAATTAAATACAATTATAACATGTAGCACAGTATACTGTCAACAATTCTCTGCCAGTCCCCCATGGGCCAGATTCTCCTATAATTTATATTCACTTGTCAGTTCCGTTCAGCAAACATTTCCTCTTTGTAAGTTCATCCCATTTTACTGCTTCTTGATTTCTGCAAGATTAATAATAAAATCTCTTGATTTTCCATATATCAGTTTCTGTTCCAAGATGGAGGGGTTTTCTTCTCCTTCTCCTTTAGATATAGATCCCACCTTTATTCCACCTAAACTCAGAGACAGCTGACATGGGGATCTCCCATCCTTTTATTTGTCAGGTAGTTTGGGCCAGTGAGTTCTATGGCTGAGGGTAGACTTGAACCTTGATCTCCCCAGTTCTTATCTAACACTTTAACTGCTACAGAAGAAACCATCAGTTAATGCTTCCCCCAACCTGCACAGAAACTAAACTTGGGATAATTAAGAGAACTGATAATTAATAGGCTAGTCATGAAGAAGTAATACATTTGGCTCAATCAGCAAAAAGGAACTGTTGAATGAAAGGAATAGTACATCCTGTCCATTAGGTTGGCAAGGGTTGCAGTGAGGGAGAGGGACAGAGGAGCCATGGTAATTAAATGCCACAATGGTGCAGAGAAGGGTGACACACTACTAATTATATCATCATTCACCATCAGTTATAATGTAATTGTTGCTACACAGTGAAAGGTACTACAATTTCCACCCTGTCATGGTTCTGAAGAGAGTGTCAGAAGCCATGGCTGCTAAGAAAACATTTTTTAAAAAAAATCACAATTAAATACATTGATGCTACAATTTCATTTCATTATTTTAAAAATCATCACAAACAGATGTAAAATAAAGCAAGTGTGCAATATGGAAATTATTGGATTGCAATAGGTTGACAATGAAATCATTTCACTGTTTCATGAAACTTTACAAACATATGATAGTAATTTCACAGAAAGGCTCTAGGATGAAAGAATCTTGAGTTACTTAAAACAACACTTTTTGGTTATAGACTGTACCATTTCTTTAATGTTTCTGCCTCCATTTATACTGAATTAATTGAAATATCTATAAAGGATATATCTTTACCCATTCAGGTCTATACTGAACATACACTAAATCCTTTGCAATATCCACTCCAGAGATAGGTATGCTGATGTCAACAGGCACTAATATGCTATATGCTACATCACTCCTGGCATCTGCCATAATCTCCCTTAAGTAAATAGGAGGGATTGTCACACAGTGGGAATGGGCTTATTCTCTATTACCCCAGAGGGCAGAGCCAGAATGAATGGGTTAAAATGATAAGGAAGGAATTTCAGGCTAGACTTCCAGGAGAACTTCCTGACTGAACAAGCTGACAGCCATTGGAACAGGTTCTCCATTTCAAACTCAGAACTCTGTCTTCAGACAGAGGCTGGATGGCCATCTGTGAAAAATACTCCAGTGGATCTTGTACTGGGCAGGCTGGATAGACCTTCCAACTCTACTGTATGATTATATTAAATATGAATTTAGCATTCTGCCCAGAAAATACCAGCCTCTACCACAATATGTATTTATAAGAATCGCCACTGAACCTCACTGAAGCATAGAGAAAAAATAATACATGGTGAATAGCTATAGTGGTGTGCCAAAAGGTAGACTGGAAAGGTAGACTGGAGTACCAGAGAGTATCATAGAGGTCTAGAACAGGTAGCAGGCAGCAACCTCACCCAATTTATTTGTTTGTAGATGAGGAGTTTGTCTAGAGCTAACATACTGGGGCTGCACAAATCTGTACGACCACTAGATGGTAATGAATATCTGTATCACTTTGTTGCCAACTAGTGGTTATCCAGATCTGTACATACAATATATTGTA